CGCCTAGACGAGTTCGCCGAAGGAACAACAGGTGCCTGGCAGTACAACAATGGCAACGAATTCAAAGGAGCCGAAGGTGGACTCACGTCGATCGCCGGCACTACCGCCGAACGTTCAGGCTTGCGGTTGAAAGCCGACTTCTCCAACGGCGGACGCTATGTGGGCATGCGAAATCGTTTGGACGAATCGGACGTGAAACAGACCACAGCGATTCGTATGCAAGTTCGATCGGAGACTGTGAACGAGTTCTCTCTGCGGTTGGTCGATGCCAGCGGTCAAACCCATCAACGACACGGTTTTAAAGTCAACGCCGACGGCGAGTGGCACCTTGTCAGCATCGAGCCAGAGAAGGTCGCGGGAGGCGAGCATTGGGGTGGTGCCAATGACGGCAAGTGGCATGGAGGTGTCAAGCTGATCGAATTGATGTTGAATACGCGATCGTCCGATTCGCCCATGCAGCTTGACTTGGCTGACTTGCGGATGGAAGCGATTGTCGAAGGTCAGCTTTCGCAAGAGGCCTGGCAAGAAGACTTTGACGAAGTGGAGGCATTAAAGTGGCAGACCAGTGGAGATGTCTCCTACGATTCCATGCTGACGATGCGACGAACGCTAGAAACAATCCAGCAGCCAACTTCGGCAAGTAGTCCACGATTCGCAGTGAAGGAGGGATCGTGGCGCGTTGCGTATCGATGGAAGTCCGACCTGCATTCGCCAGACAATTCGTTTCATGGCGCTGTCGAACTGAACATCTACGACACGAACGATCATAAATTGGCAACGTTTCCGCTGGCGATTGGGTTTGGCCAAAATGATTGGACCGAAGTCGAAAAGCAAATCCGTTTGCCGCATGGGGTTGCCTATGCGAGCTGGAACTGTCAGCTGAATAAAACGTATGGCCAGTTTTCGATCGATGATCTAACCGTAGCTCGATTGGTCGTACAGCCCGCGGTGCCACGGATTGAGAGCATTCGGATTGCTTCGGAAGCGATCGGCAATTTGTTTTACCCTGAGAGGCCAATCGCCTTTCAGATTTCGGTTCCCACCAATAAGCCGCTCGCGAAAGAAGATCAACTCGTTCAGGCAGAAGTACGTGACTATCGCGGTGACATCGTGCTTAGCCAGATCGTCGCTCCACTTTCACAAGTGGAAGGGCAAACGTACGAC